TAAGAACGATAGGAGATTGTGGAGAGCCACGATCGTCTACGTCTTGAAGAGGTATGCCACATAAAAGTAGAAGCGAGATTTTTGCTCTATCTAGGAAACGTGATACTCATCTAAAAGATAGGTATTTATTATGCTTAGCTTAGTTGGGTAAAAGGATACAAGTGTGCAGTCATTACTGACGACCGAACTCTTACACAGAAGTAGCAATCTTTTCACAACCCTACTCAAATGGAATGTGACACAGGGTCAAATTTAAAGCGAGAGACCTAGCGTACATGGCCTGGGGACAAAAACTGCCTCCTCGGCACTTGCCCTCCTTGGTCCTCGTCTCAGGTGCTAGGCAATGACCCTAATCCTAATCCTGAAGGAGAGGTATTGATTGGTGGTCGTGGTGGTGGGAGTGAACCACTGTGGCTTGAGCGCATTATCTTATATTTTGAACACTCGAAGTAGCTACTTATTAGCCGTAGAAAAGTGTTTCTTTCGAATTATGAAGCATCCGGTGAGGATCGAACTCACAATGAAGTAGAAATGATCTCGTTTGTTTCACTGTTTAAATAACATTTACCGGCCTGAATGTCCGAGAAATTTTCATAGAAAATATTCCTTCTTTGACAGGATTCGAACCTGCATCCTATACGGAACCGTCATTTACGCTGACGTGCCTTATGACGGTTCCGTATAGGAGGCAGGTTCGAATCCTGTCAAAGAACGAATATTTTCTATGAAAATTTCTCGGACATTCAGGCCGGTAAATGTTATTTAATACTGTTTATCATAAAGAGAGCATTTGCTTAAATACTTGTATCTATAAATAACAACGTTAAACATAAAAATGTCTTTAATAAATAAATTGTCGGACCTTGTCCATTTCTTAATATATATATATATATATATATATATATATATATATATATATATATATATATATATATATATATATATATATATATAAGTGATTAATTTGGGGATTTAGGCTAGTAATTCGTCGAGCTTAGAAGAATCCCTCAATATAATATATATATATATATATATATATATATATATATATATATATATATATATAATTAATGTGGAGAAACTTGTCACTTATCTAAGTTGTGATATCGCAGTCATGCCGGCTGAAGGTGGTTTCTTAACTTAAAAAATGAAATGCAGGTTCGATTTATGTTGGGAGGAACATTCTTAAATAAAACTTTCGATCTCTAGGCCTGTCAATATTCATTTCTCTGTTTAAAGACATCTACCCACTAAATATAATGTCTATTGTAATCAGGAATAACATCGCATTGAAAAAAATCCATTAAGTGCTTTAAAATGGCTTTGTTAAAAAAAGTTATCACAGAAATAGACTTCGAAATGTCACATCAAGAGAGGCGCATTTCTTAAATAGGGTAATTGAGCATTGCTTTACTGCAACACACACGCACACACACACACACATATTTATATATATATTATATATATATATATATATATATATATATATATATAATGGATTGTGGCGAGCATGACCAATTATCCACGGTTCAAAAGAGCCGAGTATTTTTCAAAGCTATACTTGCATTCAACATTCGAGAGCAAATAGCTATAATTGAAAAACCTATTTTGCTTCTGTTAAATATGTTTTTGCTTCCGGCTGCATTTCTTGGCACTATTTAAACTCAACAGACGATACAAAGTAACAAAAGAATCGAGCTAAGAGAAAATGTCGTAAAGCCTCAAAGAAAGAGGATTTTTCTATGCACAGAAAATATATCTATAAAATTATACAATAAGCTTTTGTTGCATTCCTTTCATGGAAAGCACTGCACATAGAAATCAGAACTATCTCTTTTTCTATTGTCTCTAAGATTATCTAAGAAAAACAAGTCATTTGCATTGAGAATTTTTTATTATGTACCAAAAGGTTTAAATGTTTTTTTAATGTATTAAATACTAGGCTGAAACCACATTTTCTATTCACGTAAATACGAGATCACAAAATAATGCAAGTCTAAGCAAAAAAAAAATGTTAATAATGTATAGCAAGATAACTTTCTCAAGGTCAAAATGTTGATTCAAAGAAACTAACCTATGAACAGGCATTTCTCTTGCGGTAAATTCTATTGCATATATGCTATGACGCTGTACGATATATATGAGTTTACTTTAGAGTCTCATAGAAAGGAATTAATTAAAAAAAAAAAGCTATATATAATAGGCGTTGAAGACCGTTACAATGGTGACATTAGATATTTAACTGGAGGAAAAATAAATGAAATCAATTTTTTTATCATAAGCAAGACAATGAAGCAAGGGGAATGAAAGAATCTGAGAAAACTAAGGACAATAAAAGAACAAAGTTCAAAAGAGAAGATTACGATTGACGTTGGATTTTTGAAGATTACAGAAAAGTAAAAAGCCTGAAGAGAGTTCCATAGACAGAAATTGAGAAAGAAGAATATATTGGAATAGAAATTACTATTTCATCTAGCAATTTAAACAGTAACATGATGAGACCTAACGGCCAATCAAGTACTACGCTTATATTCGTACAGTCAAGGTTTCAAAGAGGAAAGCGCACTAGAACAATTGCCATGAAATGATTTATTTATAGAAAACACAAAGTAAAGCTACGTTATGGTGGTGGGAAAGTAATACTTATTTTGTGTAAGGCAAAAATGTGGCACAAGGCCAAAAGTAGGGTTAGGCTGGTCTTCAGTCTCCCTTATCTTAAACTTAGCTCGTCATAATTACTGACCCAGACATACCACAGTATTCCTTACCCCAAACCGACACATTCTTACTTACCATCCTTACTACAGTCACCGTAATACCTCAGAGTCTCTATGTATGGTGGGGAAATGACAGAAGTCGAGATGCGAGGTCAGTTAAATAACGTTTCGGTATTTATATAATTCCCTATGTTGGCAGGATGTGACACGTGGTTGGTTTAAAGTGAGATGCCCATACGCGTATATAAGGCTAAAAGACAAAAATTAAAAGTATTAGAGCATGTCCACAACATTAACACAATTGAACAAAATGTACAGATACCTTTAATGCGGTTAATCTTCTACTGTGTGTTCCGTCTCTTCATGGCTCTCTACAACTTCCAGTCCCTTATAGACTTCAGCAGTTTTTCTTCCTTTGCTAAGACCTCCATCTTCTCTCATGCGATCCCTTAACACAAGCTCGTCAGGTTAGTGACTATCTCCTTTCCCCAATCTCTATTTCCCTCAGTATGCCCCGTGAGTGTGAAGTTTTCCAAGTCCTCTTTTCTCATTATGTTTCTAAGGAATTTCAACTGTTTTTTAATCTAATTCTGAGTTGAATCGTTCTTTCTATTATAATTTTCGTTGTTGCTTACACGCTCCGTTTATAGAATTCTCAGTATCCTTCCGTAGAAAAACATTTCTAGTTTTCTCCTCATCCGTCGGCAGTTTGTCTAGCATTCATTGCTATATAAGGTGATGGATGTCATAAAGCAATCCAGAACTCTTTTCTTTGTTTCTGACGAAATGTTTCCGTTTCTTAGCACCTTGCTTAGTATTTGAAATGCTTCGCTCGTTAATCCAAACTATGTTCAATTCTCGTTGTCGCATTTTCCATCCTCTGTTAAAAGCCTTCCCACATATTTAATCTTCTGCACTTGCTTGATGTCGACATCTCCAATTTATTTAACCCGTATCTTGGCCTTTTTCCTCTTGCTGATGACCATACTTTTTGTTTTCTTACAGTTGATGGTTAGTACTTTGTTTTTGGGTGGGTTTTTTCGCTTTCTTCTACCACACGGTCCAGAAGATTCTGTAGTTTTATTTTTATGTCAGCCATCAACACACTCTCTTTTGCGCTAAGATTACGCCTGCGAATAATAAATCTTTGTCGCACGACTCTTTCTATATTTGTGTGGCAGCCAAATTCATTTTCTATCCGTATGCAGGCGGTTTGCTCCCAGATTATCCCTGAATTAGCCTAACATTTTTTTCCAAGTCGATCTAGTTTTCCTAACAGTTCAAATATATCCTTGTGCCATACCTTGTCAAATACTTTTGCATAATCTATAAAGCATAAGTGTGCATCCTTAGTCATGTGTTATGTTTAATAATAATAATAATAATAATAATAAGAAGAAGAAGAAGAAGAAGAAGCAGAAGCAGAAGAAGAAGAAGAAGAAGAAGAAGAAGAAGCAGAAGAAGAAGAAGTAGAGGAAGAAGAGCTTTAGGAGACTGAGGTCTAATCCAACTTGAACTAACTCTAAAAGCTACAACAATCGGATTGGAAGCCTACCTCACAAAAAACAATGATCCTCTCCTACAAATAGTGCATTTCTCTCTCTCTCTCTCTCTTTCTCTCTCTCTCTCTCTCTCTCTTTCTCTCTCTCTGATATCATTTCAATCATGAATATCGCATTTCTTGTTCGATTGTCCATGACAAAGACACGCTGTTCGTGTCCTATTTCTGAAATGAGTTCAGGTAGAACCCATTTCTTGTGTCTTTTCACTTTGCCAATTCTCTTGAAATGGTCCGATATTGTTGAAAAGCTGACATCTATTACCTGTGATATTTCTCTGACATTTTGACATGGGTTCTGTTTGATTAGTGTTGCCAGATGTTGATTGGCAGTTGCAGATTGCAGGACTCATATCTCCACTGCGGAACTTCAGAAACCAGCGCCATACTGTCCGATCACAAGTGGATCTTTCACCCCACGCTCTATTAATTTGGGCAGCTATTTAAAAATCCTTATGACCAAGTTCGAACTCATGCAAAAATGCACCATTACCTTTTTCAAGTTCATGATGAGAGGTATATAATATTTTAAGTTAAATTCTGAAAGGGATTTATGTAAAATTAACAAAGAGGAGACTTTAAACATTAAGAATGAGTAAAATGTTTTATGCAAATATTATAATATTTATAACATGTTAGAACACAATCAAATGGTTTATTCTAAAATCTGACATTATTTTCCGAACAATTTAATAATTTTCGAAAACTTATTTTAGTCTTTTAGGCTTGCGGCCGTATCATGTTGAAACACTGGTTCTCGTACGATCACCGAAGTTAAGTAACAACCAACCTGGTCAGTACCTAGATGGGTGACCGCCTAGAAATACCAGGTACTGTAAGCTTGGATGTGTAAGTGGTGTGTAATGAATAACGAAGCGGAATTGGAAATCGGTTAGCCGAGTTCCAATTCCGAGTCGGGTTCATTATATTCGGTTACGCGCAAATATCCTCGAATTCCAGCTCTTCTCTTCCTCCAGATATGAATTAATTAGTAGAACTTGGATCAGTAAATTATTATTATCGCCCCAAAATTCTTAAAATCTAAGAATATTTTCTGGCTTTAAATAACCTAAAAAGGGTTGATAAAATGTAAAAAAACAGATCAAACAACTTTAGTTATTTATATCTTATGCTCATTTTATATAAGGTAATAATGTTATTTATATCTTATGCTCATTTTATATTATGCCTGCAATAAGGTAATAATGACGAAATCATTGTCTTTATAGATTTCCATAAAAACTTGTTGAAAACATTAACACAATTTAGCAACATGTACGGATATCTTTAATGGAGTAAACACATTTGTAAGAACAGAGAGAAGTAAACTTCTTTCAAATATTTATCTCGTATCCAATTTCTAATACATTTTCAATTGTCTTCTCTTTCAAAAGGCCTGCTATTTATGGCTTCTAACAAATGAATTTATTCAAAAAGCGAAGAAGCCGTTGAGTTGTTTGGAGATTTAGTGCGTCGATGTTTATTCAACTGAGCATAAAACGACACAAATATTTTGCCTAAACCAGTAAACACGATCCCCAAAAGTTTACAACTTCATTCATTCATTAATGCATTCACAATTATTTTTGAGTTTTTAAACTGTGGGCTCAACTGTTATCTATCCTACATATGCGCTTCTTATTTCTTCCTTTACTTCCTTACAGAAAATTTATTCAGTTACTCTCTATCTTGAGTGGCTCTTGGGATTTGAATTTTGCGAACAATAATATAAAAAATTAAATATAAATAAATCAAAATATAAATAGATAAAATATGAATAAAAAATTTAAATGAATAAAACTAAAACTTTAAAATGAATGAAGGAAGTTGTAAAGTTTAAATTTTAGCTTTAGTGATCGGAGAAGCATCTTTTCAGAACATAAAGTAATATTCCTAGGGAAGAATTTGTCTGGTTCGAACTTCCTCCTTACTAATGGAATATGAAGGAAAAGAGTCGAAACGGTGTACATGAATTATTTTTAAGTTTTCAATTTTATTTATATTTTATTTATTAATATTTTATTTTTTATTTATATTTTATTTTTTATACTATTTTTTGCATAATACAAGTCCCAAGAACCACTCAAGATAGAGGGTAACTGAATAAGATTGCTGTAACGAAGTAATGGAAGAAATAAGAAGCACATATGTAGGATAGATAAACAGTTGAGCCTTTCAGGACACTGTTCCATAAACTAATATTTCTGGAGAAGAATCTGAGTGACACGTCCTCCTTATCAATGGAATATGCAGAGAATGAGAAGGATTCAGCTCTGTGTACGTGGAATGGCGGCTTGTAGCTGTCTGGAGTGGTAGAACTAAGTAATGTCGCTCGTATGGAAATAGTGATACGGCAATGAGAGGGTAGCAACATTTTATCTGTGGGAAAGCGTTTGTGAGACGGAAAATAACCCAACACCCACGGGAACGCTTTTGAAATCTGTCATGGTTGGAAAGTGAGCATTGGGCATCTGAAAATATCATTTTCATGTCAAGAAACAAACTGTGTAGCGAATTCTTTTGGTCGATGCACAGCAGTAATAGTGTCTTTTAATACTATTTTTATGATATCTGGTGGTGGCAGTAAACTATCAGGCGTTGTCGATTTAAATGTCATTTTTGTCTCCTTAACTTTTCCCACATAGAACAACATACGAATATGACTCATATCGAAATAATTCAATGACCGAATTTTATTATGTAGATGCTGTAACGGAGAAAGAACTAAGGAAGGAATATTAATTCTCTTATTTGTATTTACCCCCCCCCCTTATGGGTATTATTATATCCATGATATAATAACACCGTATTTCACGGACGGAACGGAATAGTTGAAAGGAAAAAAGAATGACAAGTATACTTTGTTCTCAGAGAGACTTTTATACTACTAAGACATACACAAAACTATATATACATATTTACACATGTCCCACGCGGAGAATAATATATAATATATATCTTCACGGCAAAGCAGAGTGTAAAGGGAAACAAAAAGGAAGGGTCTTACATATAATATGGAACTACTCCTCTATCTGGAAAAGTCATGTTTAGGACTCCAGATTCAAATGGTCCGGATTTCTCTATGTCCCAGACGCGGACATATTGCAAGAATCGGCGAGTCTTGGTTTTCCCAAATTGAAGATAGCGAGCTGGAGTTTCATTCTATAGCTGGGAAAGATATAGTCCCAAAGGGAAACGGCACCATGGACTTGTAAGCTACTGCTGGTAGGGGAGGAGCAAATTTGGCCACTGCCCAAGCCATGAGGCCCCGGTCTAAAGAATCCAACCTTTCGGTTTCGCTCCTGTAAAACGAACTGAATTTGACTGCCACTATTGTCAATGTGTAGAGCGACGTCACTAAGTGGCTGTCACGTGATCCACATGTCTTATCTCCTCCAAAGGGAGATAAGCGCCTTCTGTATCCCTACAGTGAAAAAGTTTCCAACGCACTGCAAAAACTAGTGACGGTATAAGAAAAAAGTTTTTTGCTTGTCTTTTGCTGAGAAGTGTTAAGCAAAAAAGTTTTATTTTATTTTATTTTTCCCTGCATAAACTGACTAGTCATGATCTGTGAGTCGAAAATTATAATTGGTCAGTTAAAAGTTTTCCGTCGAGTTACAGAGATTTTCGGAATTGGTAATTTTGGGATAAGATGATTGTATTTTTCGGTATTTTCTAAGCTTTCATATTTCAGACAAGCACTTAGATATTTTTTTTTTTTTTATCTATGTGGTATTTAAAAGGAGGTCCTTAAATTCTAGATTCTAATTAAATAAAGTTCTAATTATATAAAACTGGGAAGATGCAATTGAAATTTTCTGGACACGTAACGGGGAAAAGTCTTGGAGGATTTGACACTAATAGGCTGTATTGTGGGCAGGAGAATTAAAGAGAATCTACCTAATGAGTTTGGATTAACTTTCTTTTCTCTTCCCCAAATGGTACGCACCCTGCTTGGCCGGTCATATGATTCTCAGCAGCCAATCAAAAGAGTTCCATGCTGTCAGTGAGGACAGTTTTCAAATAGATATTGCTAAGAGAAGATGCATTTCTGTCACGTGGATCGAATACAGTCTCTTATCATATGGCATGCTGGATATATAGACACCTAATTACTTAACATTCATATATTTATCGAGTAACTTCTTGCAATAGCCACACGATTTTTAAAATAAATTAAGGACACGTTAACATATGTTGGATTTGTGAATAAAGACAGCTTTTATTCCATCCTCTAGTTTTTTATACTCAGATTCGGAGAGAAGCCATTTCTCTACTCGTCCGCCATCTGGGAAATAAAAATTTTATTCCGACTTCTCTCCAGTCGTATTTATTTTCTTATTTTAAATGTTTGTGTAATTATTTGCTTTCGACAACCATATTACCAAGGTCGCCCAACATATATTTGGTTAATCAACATTATTGGCAGAACGAGGCCAGAGATGTACAGTAAATAATCAGACGTTGTTTAAAGCTACAAACGACAGAAAGTTGTGGCGTGCCGTGATTGTCTACATCCTGAAACGACATCGCACATAAAAGAGAAGACTTTCCATTACAGGTCTGATTGTTATTCAACTTCAGACCGTCTATGTATAAGCATCCGCCTGCATTAAATGATTACGTTTCTTCACACACTTTCACGTTCCTTCGCGTTAACATATTCAAAACTCGAAACTATTTTAATCCTCTATATCACCAATATTATTACTACTAGATTTTGAAGTTAAATAAGACAAATAAAAAATCGTAAACGAACGTTGCCTTAAAAGTAATGGCTGTCTGGTCCTAACTCCTTTAACATGAGATATACGCGACGACCAAATGTATCTATCGAACAACACAATGTCTGTGCGCCCGGGAGCACTAATGCTCCATGAAAGGTAGCCAGATGCACCTCAAATTAACAGAAGAACAGTTTATGAATTATTTTTATATTTAAAAATCTTTATTTATAAAAAAAACAAAACAATACCAAGCTTCCATGTTTAAGTCAATCTTTGTCATTTGATATTTTAAACGGGTTAAATTTCTTAATCATTAATAAAGAGGGGATAAATCCTTCCTCGTTGATTTCCTCAAGGCATAATATATAAGGCTTATCGTTCAAAAAGTTACCAAGACACACTAAGCATATGTTTCACATAAGCATATTTAAATATACAATGTAATGTTTTAAAAATAAAATGTTTTTTTCAGAAGAGGTTCGTGGGAAAAGGTTGTTCGAGAAGAACTTGCTTCTCATTAATGGAGTACGGAGAGAAATGGGGCGTGGTTCGCCTCAATGTACGAGGCGTGACGGGTGTTAACTGTGAGGGTTAGAGTTAATGAAACTAAAGAATGTTGCTCGCCTGAACATTTTCCATGGAAATAGTGATAGAGCAGCGAGAGTCTAGCAACGTTTTATCTGTTGAAAAGAGGTTAGAAATAATTCATCACTCACAAGGCCGCATAGACGCTTTAGGTATCTATAAAGAGTGAAAAATGAAAACTGGACAGATATGGCAGTAGTACTCTATTTTCGACCTAATATGTCTCTTGTATTGGTACTTACTTGAGAGGTACAGGGAGTCGACCATTTTCCAGCATCTTTTACCGATGGATCGTATATACGACTTGAGGTCTGGAGCTTATGTCCCTTAATAGGCGTTCAAGGCAAAGGGGCATCCTTGAGAGAACTCGTTTATTGCGATAGACGAAAATTCAGAGTCTATTAGGTGATGGGTGGAAGGTTACGAGTCTTGTTTTTTTTAGCTATTGAATGTGACGAGCCAGTTTTTTCCATCGCGAGTTGTGACAGCTAAAACAGGAGAGATCATCTTTCAGTTTTTAGTCATTTA